TGAGGTCTGTCTTATCAGGTAAATTACTGTACACAGTGTATTCATTAATTTTCATTTTCATGTAGTAAAGGCTCTATGCCTTCATAAAGTACGTACTTTTCCTTTGTTTAAGGGTATTTGGGCAGTTTATTCTCTGTTGTATTCTCCAGCAAACAATACATACAAGTACAGTACACTATTTTCTGAGGAAACACGCATACTTATCCTTTATTAACCCCATTCCCGATAACCCAGCATTTTCACAAACTCGGCCACCCTTCGGTCCACATTAGGCCGAGTTTTCGAGGTTCTACTGTATTATAATAGCAGAACAAAATAAATGACATTTGAATTTATAAGAATATGTTAACTAGAATAAAATAAAATATGCAATTATCAATTAAGTTTTTAATGATTATTATTTCTGACTTTGTTTTAGTATACTAGGAATTTGGAATGTATATTTAAAGTTTCAACAAAAACAGTTAAAGGAAGGTATTTAAATATGAAAGTTATCGTTCATGTGTTTTATAGTTAACAATTTTTTCTTTTTTCTTTTATGGTGGAAAAAAAATTTAATGTTTAATTTTTAATTTTCAGTAAAATTACCAAATGCAAAACAATGGCTTCCTGTCTTGAAAGATTATTTAGAAAACCACATTTTAAATCTTCATATCTTACAAGAATTAAGGTAGTATAGATGTTTATAAAGAAAATTATCTATACCTAGATCCTATTATGTGAATGTTTGCTTTATGAATCTTTTTCTTAAACATGAAGAATTCTTATCGTAAAATATTTTACTATATATATTTTTGATTTAGATATATAAATTAAAAAATGCAGAGCAAAACTTTTAACACATGAATCATTATGTTATATGTAAACAATTCTTTAGCTGCTTTCTACAGATTTAATGGAGATTGTGGCAGTGAATGTCTTATTTGTTTACAAATTCTTTTATGTTAAGCTTATACTGTCTGTTCTCTTATTTCATGCTTTTTATTTTGACTATCCTTATTTCTTGTCTCCAAAAACTTTGAGAATGCTGAAGAAATGTTAGCCATATATCAAATATCATTGCTTTGTTTTGATAGTAGCATAATTTAAAAAATGTTAATTTTACAAGGGACACATTTAAAAATTCTAATTGATTAACAGTTGATGACATCTGTGATCTCTGATGGAAATCCAATAGAGGTAGAAATATGCCATTTTACATGATAAAAGTACTGTATCTAAGGAGTTTATTCAAAAAAAAAAAAAACAAAAACAAAAAAGCAAAATCAGTATTTGTTTTTAGTTGTGTCATCATCAAAGTAAAGCAGCAATATATTGTTAAATTGAATGTGAAAAATGAAAGAGTCACTGGTATTCTATGAAGGAATTACAGTAGAGCGTCGTTTATCCGAATCAATTGGGGACTGGGATTGTTTGGATAACTTATTTTTCGGATAATCGATTATGTACGAAAAAATATATTAATCTATCCTGTGTTGAAATTTTTCTCTGTTGCGTGTCGCTTTGCGTTGAATTTTCGTCAATGTTAAGCCTAACATAAACTTTTTAAAATAATGATCGTGGCTATTGTATCATTAAAAATGATTTCTTTATGTTTTACAAATGAAATATATACATTGAAAAATATAAAAACAAATAAAAATTATACTTTAGGCCGACTGGAATTCTTTCGGATAATCAACTTTCGGATAAACGATGCTCTACTGTATAGATAATTCTTTATAAATTCTTGCCAATATAAATTTAAGTGTAAATTTATTTTGTTTAAAATTCATTTTTATTTATGTAATCAATATAAGATTGAAAATGGCATAAATTTAAATTGTTTTCATAAATATGGATTATTTTTTTAGATTAAAAGTTAAAAGTGTTAGTTAAAGCTATCGTAGTAGTTACTATATTAATGTGGTGATAAATTTTTAATTAATATATATAATTTTAGATTAAATTATACCAAATGATTATATTTCTAAAACAAATTTTTTGCTTTAATGTTAGTTTGAGGTTAAATACAGAATATCTACCTGGTATTGGTATTTCTGTAAACAGTTTAGATGGGATTTATAATGGAAAAAACCATAATTCTATTATTAATATTCAGGTTAGTAATTTTTGTGAAGTTTGTTTTTTGTTTCTCAATAATAATTTATAACAGATGATTTTTAATATAGGAGCAGTCATTTCAGTTATGTTCACAAACCCCTGATTATATTTATTCACCATCAGAAAGTCAAGATCAGTCTATTTTGCCTTCAAGAATCTTTTGTCTTTCTCCTACTTTGGGTATGTTTTTATCACAGTTAAATGATTTCAATAAATATTTTTATCCATACAACCTTTGATTATATATAAAATTCAGGAACATCTGGAGAAGTGATTTTGAAAAGAGAAAGAAAATATATTAGAAGTCCATTGTTAAATGATCCACTTTGTAGTCCAAATTTAAGAGATTCCAACAATAGAAGGTTTTTTTTTTCTTTTAATATTTCAGTAATTTCTTATAGTTTAAATTTAAATGTAATTATTTAATAATTATTTATATTTAGGAAATCTCCTGTTATACAATTAGAAAAGATTGGTCAGAAGCAAACAACAAAAGTCATTTGGCATTCTAACTGTTCCTCTAATGAAAATTTGTCTGACTCTTCTGTCAGAAATATTGATTCGTATTATTCTGCAGCATATAATCATGCTAATAGATCAGATAGTATTTTATCGACAAATTCTAGGAAGCAACTTATGAATGTTTTCAATGAAGAAAAAGAATTTTCTACTGTTGATTGTAATGTTAAAAGTAAATTTGCTGAAAAGGTATAAATAATGAAAAATCTTTGTAAATTTTTTTTATTTGTTATTTTTTAAACATTATTTATTTAGTTAATTGTTTATTATTATATGTCGATAAGAGAAAATGAATATCCGCAGTCTGCATTATTGAAATATTTATTTAAAATTTTCTTTAGTTCTGAATTTTTATTATTTGTTTTTTTAAATTTTTTTCTTTAAACACTGAACATAGTTTATCTGCTTTTTAACTTTAATTCAGTACTTAAAATTTATAAAAGAAGAATAATAATATACTTTTAAATATGCTTAAACTGTGTTTAGTTTTATAATTGAATTTTTGGTGATAAATATTAAATATACAATGTTTTATGTGCTTATTATTTTTTTAATGATTTGAGTAATTTGTTATTACTGTTTGGATAATTCTAATGATTAGATTATTGGAATAATTTATAATTGAATTAGGAAAAATTTTAATAATTTTAAAAAATAATAAATAATTTTGTATTTTTAAAAATTTAATTATAAAACTTTATTTAATTTCATATAATTTCATTTTCTGTACTTTTAAATTAGTATTTTTGTTTTAGGTATGTACCAGATTGTGGTCGAATTTTCATTTTTAATATATTATCATGTTTATTATAATTGTTTATTTTTGCTTTAATGTTTTCAAAAATATATGTAAAATTTTTAAAATTATTCTATACAATAACTAGAAACTTGTGTAACAGACACAAATCATTAAAGCCTCCGAAAATGAAAATCGATAAACATTTATTGTATATTTGAAATCAATTCTTTGATTAAATAGATATTGATTCAAAACATTTAAATTTACTATTTTTTAAAATGATGATATTAATTAGACTTACTAATTTATATAATTTATTTAAGCCATTTTAATTTATAAAAATGTATTAGTAGTAATTAGTAATTTATATTAATAGAGTAATAATTTATTTAAGCCATTCTGATTTATTACTTTTCTGTGAAAATTACAGATGTGGGTAAACAATGCCTGATCAAACCTTTTCCAAAAATGCATAAAAATTAACTCTGGTAGAGCCTATTCCACATCTGGATACATTTTAGTTTACAATCATTTATTGTGAATTAAGGCTATAGAGAACAAATTTAATTGTACACTGCCACATCACTGTTTGTTGTCCAACTTTTCAAACTATTATTTTGTTAAATAAAATTTAAAGTATAGTATTAAAAGTGAGTTTTTCAAAAATGGTAAATTATCCAATTGTGGAATAGTGTGATACACAACCTGATCAGTTACAAAGATTTCAGACACAAAAGAATTCAGATATCGTGCACATTTTGTAAAAAGTTTAAAACTATCATTCTTGTATTTAAATAATTACAAAATAGCTAAAGAATCAAAGGATTGATATTCATTTGCTGATAAAAAAAAAAATTGAATACAAAATATCCACTTTTTACAGTTATATAAACTAATAATAAAATGCTTTATTATTAGTTTATATAGCTGTAAAAATTGGCATAATCATCAAAAGAGATATTAAATAAAAAAGTTGCAGACACTGCATAATAGGATAAAGAACCACAGGTATTGATGATGATAGCTTGTGAAATGGTCATTTACATCTGTGCATGTTCAGGTGTTTGTTGTTAAAATCTGCAGAAATTTCAATGATGTTTTCTGGTAATTTCAAATAATTGCACATGTGCATGAGAAAGCATACATTCTAGAAGGTTCTTGATTCCATTTATTGAAAAGGTTTATGTAAGTACATTTCTTTGATTAAATTCATCCAATCCTTCCATTAAAAATGGATGAATTTAATCAAAGAAATGTAATTGAAAGATTTTATACTGAAAATCACAAAAATGGAAAAAATCTTATACAGTTAAATATTTCTTTGCAATCAGATTTCCATTGTGTACAGTGTATAGCATCATTTTAAGGGTAGAGCAAGAGGAAGGACTGCTGAAAGGACAGGAAATGATTGAAGATGAAGAAAATGGCTGAAAAGAAGGGAGGATGAGACCTTGGAAAAAGTTAGACAAATGCTTAGAAAATTATGTAGAAAGTTCAAAATTTCACATAGACATGTTTGCTAGATTAGTCTGCTCCAAAATACATGATGAAGAAACTTACTAATCAAAAAATCCTGCAGAAGTTGCTTGATGGAATCTTGAAGTCATCAAACAATTTTGATGTGATTATGGACAACAAGTCCTATTTCAATTTTGATGGAAGCAACTGTGCTGCTAACAATCACTGTTTCATCAAAGAGGGGCTAGATGTGAATCCTGAAGTCACACACCAAGATTTCGCTGAAGCTTCTGGTTTGTCTGGCAATCAGACAAAGGAACATTCATGGACCTTAATTGTCTTGTCATGGTTCTTCATCATCAAAGAAGTACATGGCAATGAATGCATACAGAAGAGATTTTTAGTATCCTTCCTAAAAAAATACTGTACTCTCTTGACAAAGGATATTGTCTTCTGACTAGACATGGCTACTACCCATTCTGCTCACAACACAGTTGCCAAGTTGGACCATTATGGAATTTTCATCTTATGTGAAGTCAGTAATCCAAATGTTCTGCAATTGAGCCCAATTCAGAGATTTTGATATCAATTGAAGCAAAAAGTTTATGAAAATGGTTTGGAAGCTAGATCTGAAAAGGATTTGGAGAACAGGATCAAGGCCTAAACTTTTTTACTTTGAAGTTGACTGCTTCCAGTGATTAATGGAACAGGTTAAGATTAAAGTTTGAATGGTAGTGGATCACAGTCTCAAGATCTGAATGTTAAACACTCTGTATGTTAAACATGCACCTCAACAGACATATTTCTTCATGTTTTAGTCTCAACTGGAATGCAAAACAAGCTGATGAGAATCTTAAGTGTTGCCTGAAAAAATTAAACAAGACACCTGAAATTAGTTTACCACTTCCTATGACCACATATTGCTCCTTCTTGCTGAAATTCACACTGCAGATTCAGTACATGGATGCCATTTAATAATGTGGGAAATCTCTTGACGAGATATGCATTGCAAAATTTAAATGTCCATTAGTGGAATGGTCTCCCCAGTCTATGGAATTGTATAAGTTTAAAAGTTTAATCAAGTAAATATTATTTCAGCTTTTTGTTGTCTTTATTGAAAGCCATAAACTTGAAATTATTTATTAACTAAATGTACAATTAGTATGCAAACAATATCAAACATTATAGTATATAATTAAAGATAGAAAATAATGTGGTCTATTCATGCTTTTTAATTTCATTATCTACTAACAATAATGTGAATTTGTTGAAAGAATTTATAAGAGAATTTTCAAATTTTGATTCTTCTCTATTTTTATATTGTAATAATATCACAAGATAATTTTTCTATATTTATGTATAATTAATAGTAATTATTAATTACAACAATTACTATCTTATTCCATATTTAGCTGATAAAAAGGATATAATAAAGGTAATCATAGCAGTAGTTGTCAATTTTAACTATATATTATTTTTTATTCTATATATATTAAATTAATTAAAAAAAATTAAAATGAAAAAGTATTATTTTTTCTCTTTTGATGTATTTTTAAAAAAATAAATGGCGAAGATATTTGCAAATTACTGAAATTATCCTATTTATGTTTTTTATTATGTAGATTGTTGAGTCAGTTTTGAATGGATCTGAATCAGATAGTTTTGAGAATGTGCCGTCATATTCAGTTGACAATTTAACACCGGATTTATTTGGTAATTAGATGATATAATNTTCAAAAGCATCAACTACCATTCTTCAGTTATCCACAGATAAATCCATTTGTAATTTTTTAAGATTACAAGAAATTTCACAAGAATTGCACAAAAAATGGCATAAAAATGCAAGGTAAGTAAAAGAACACAATAAATTCTAATTTAATGAACTAATTGGAAGAATGAAGTGTCCACTATTGATGAAAATCTGTTAAATCAAATGTGTTGTATAAGAATACATTAATAATGAAATTACAATGTACAGGATGTATTTAAATAGTCCTATAATATACAAGCATGAATAAAATATAATTGTAATGTACACTGAGTAATTTATGATCATTAATTCATTGACTTATTGACCCAATCTCTTAAAATAAAATTCTATTGGTGAATGAAGAAAAGGTTCTATGGTTATTTCTTTTAGGAAGAAATTTTTTATCTGTTAAATCAAGGGTTTAATGTATATATGTATACATTTATAACAAAAAATAAATAAATAAAAAATGTAACATTTTAATGTATTAGAATAAATTTTCAAGAAATTGGAAAAACATATTGATCTTGAATATACATTTGCTGAGTTAATATAGTTGATTTTATATATTTCAGCTGGGCATCTTCCTCCAATAGACAATGCACTTACTATTAGAGAGTTATCTGTAACTTTCAACTGCACTGTTTATTAAAATAAATACAGTATTTCTAATTGTATTAAAATTTTAACACCAAAAGAGGGTATTTTTACTTTATTTAAATATGCTTAGTGTTTGTAGTCATAATATATTTTCAACATTAAAAAATCATTTTGCCTTGAAAATTTTAAGATTTGACACTTAATTTCGGAATAAGGAAGTTAATTTTACTTGAATTTTGTATCCAAGAACAATTTTTGCTGTAAGAAACAAATTTCAATCACTAAAACAAGCAACAAACTGTTTATTAGAAATTTTTTCCTGTCAATATTTAATAATGACAAAATATAGAATCTGTATTATAATTTCTGTAAATAATTTGAAATTTTTCTTTTTATGATATGTACCTTTTATAAATCATTAGTGAATCATCATTTCAGTAATATAATTCAAAATGTTTTATAGTTTTTAAATATTAAAACAGGTAATTATTAATTATTAGTAAACTAGCAATTTTTTATTTATTTACTTTTATAGTTATATTAATTCTTATTTAGATGATGATAAATGATATTTCAATCTTTTTCAAAAATGCTATTTTGTGATAGGTAGACAGATATATTAAAAATTTATTTCAAATATTTCATATAATTTTATTTCAGAGACTTGATTTCTATTCATAAATCATTAAAAAGAAGAATTACAGAAAAAAGGGAGTTACTGAAAGAAAAACAAAAACAACTTATTGCTAGGTAATAAATTGACTAATTAATTAAATGTTTTATACTAAGTAACCAAGAATAAGTATTTTTGTATATATTTTGGTTTTCTTGTATGGTTGTATGACTATATTAAATCACATAAAGTTATGAGACACTTAATTAAAAGATTAATACTCTCACATTGAAATGGTTACGTTTGCTATCTATTTTGTGTAAAATTAAAGTTTTCATATTCTTCATGGTAACATAATTTGTTTTATTTATTTTTATCACTTGTAAAATTGTTTCTAATATCACAATAAAAGAAGAATTTTGATATGAGATGATTTCATCCCTAGTTACTGCCTTCTGTATTTTTATCTTTATGTAATTAACTGTAAATGAATATATTAATATTTCTAATATCACATATTAATTTCCAATTAATTTCTATATTTTTTTATTATATAGTTTATGTCAAAAAAATCTCAGTTTGAAAACAGTAGAGAGAGAAAATCAGGAAGTAGAATTAGAAAAATGTGTAAATAGTAAAAATGAAAAAATGGAAAAAGTAAGTTTTGTTTATTTTTTAATTGTACTATTTTGAATATTGAAAGATTAATAGAAGTAAACTATTTAATGACAATGTCACTCAATTCTTGCAGACTTAAAGTATAAATTTAAGAATTTTAATGAAATCATAAATATAAATGATATATTTATAATATGATTTGGATTTTCTTATTTTAAATTATATCACTTAAATATAAATTCATGGAAACCAGAAGTTACTTTATTTCAATTCAAAACTTTTCCCCTGAAAGGAGTTAGATAGATGACTGGCCAACTCCATTGTACAGGGCAAGATACTACTAATTTGAGGTGGAGAGCATATATTTTAAATTAAATAAATTAAAAATATGGTTATTAAAAATGCAGCCTGGCATTGTGACGATGTCACAATAAATAATTGCTCATTTTATTCTAAATTTGTTATTCATACAGAAATAAATACTAGTCAATTTTTAACTCAATTATGTTTCTGTATAAATTACCAATTTAGAATAAAATCCAAATTTGGTATTCATACAGAAACTTAATTGAGATAAAAATTGACCAGTATCTAATATAATACCAATGATAATTTCTTTTAAAATACATAATTATTAAATTAATATTTGCTGGTTCCTTTACATTGATTAAATATATTTATAATTTAAAATTAATAGTCTTTGTAGCATTACAAATATAAAAATTGGAAAAAGCCATAGATGATAAAAATTTTGTAACATTGATTTACATTATTTTGTTTTTGTATGTTAAATGCAGTTTTAAGAATCTTGATTTGATAACTTGTTAAATATAGCAAATATGCATTTGAAATTAAAACATTTATATGTTAAAAGGTTTAATAATAGTTAATTATATGTAAAATTTATGATGGTATTGAAATGCATTTACTTGTTAGTATCTTCTGTAACAGAAGAAAATTTGGAAATATTCATTGATAATAGTTTGTATTCTATCCATTACAGTTATCTGATGTACGTATTATTGTTATAATTGGAACTAAAACATTAATGTAGAATGTTATCATTAATATGTGTTTACTCATAAGATTATGATTACGCTCATAAAGGAAAGAATATTGAAATGCATTTTTTTGTTATGTGATATGTTTTATTTTGATTATTTGATTTGTTCCCCATAGCTTCATTTAATAAACATAGCTACAAGATTCTTCTAATTTGAATCATTTTGTAATTAATGTTTATATGTGATTACAGGGAAATGAGTTTAATATGTTCTTTTTTTATCAGTATAATGTAATTGTTATTGAAACCTAAAAACTTGTCTAACTTTTTTAGATTTGTAACATTTGTAGACAAAATATTTTTTTAAAAGTAAGTTTTATAATTTAAATTTTCATTAGTTGGTACAGCATTTTTTGTATCAAACAAAAATCTTACAATTTTTTAAAAAATAAAGTTTAATTTAATCTAATACTTAATAATACAGTCCATCCTCAATAAAATGCAGTATATAAGTGTGGTATGGTTTATTAATTGTTAATGTTCATTACATTGAAAAATTGCTAATACACCAGGTTCTAATGTAGCAGCAAAATAACAATGAATAAATTAAAAATAGTCTTAATTATAATAATAATTTAGTAGAAAAATAATAAAAAATGTATAATTAGTGTATTGAAATATTTAATCATGAACATTCCTATTCTTGTACATGTTTTTTTTTTTTAGATATATATTAGAAATATATATATATATAGATGAAATATATTTATTTGCTGTTAAGAGATTATATTTCAAGAAAAAGTTTTATGAAATTTTCTTTAATG